CTCTCCATATGATAGCAAAATGGCACTTGACCTCTCTGGTTTTCCTCCCCTCAATCGGAAATCTCAGTCTACTCATGAGAAAAACAGCCAATCCCAACTAAGAAACATTTTACAAAATACCTAACAAAAGTACTCTGCAAGACTCTCAAGGTCAAAAAAACTCTCAAGGTCATCAAACACATGGAAAGTCTGAGAACTTGTCACAGCCCAGAGGAGCCAAAGGAGACATAATGAATAATGTTGTATGGGATCCTGGAATAGAAAAAAAGACACTAGGTATAAACTAAGGAAATCTGAATAAACTATAGCCTTAAGTTTATAATAATGTGTCTATATTGGTTTGTTAGGGCTTCCCTGGTAGCTCAGCAGTAAAGAATCCCCCTGCAATGCAGGAGATTCAGGAGACATGGGTTTGACCCCTGGGTTGGGAAGATCCCCTGGAGCCGGGCATGGCAACCCACTCTAGTATTCTTGCCTGGGAAATTCCGTGGACAGAGGAGACTGGCAGGCTATAGTCCATAGGGTAGCAAAGAGGGACATGACAGAAGTGACTGAGCATGCATGTACTCATGCACATTGGTTTATTAATTGTAACAAACAATATCATACCAACTTAAGATATTAAAATAGGATAAATCAAGTGTAAAGTATATAGGGAACTCTATATATTGTAACTTAATACAATATGTAAATATATACTAATTGCATATTCATATACTGTAAATAATGGCTTCCCTGGTAGCTCAGACAGTAAAGAATCTGCCTACAGTGAAGGAGACACAGGTTTGATCCCTGGGTCAGCAAGATCCCTTGGAGAACGGAAAGGCTACCCACTCCAGTATTCTTGCCTGGAGAATTTCATGGACAGAGGGGCCTTGTTGGCTGCAGTCCATGAGATTGCAAAGAATCAGAAACAACTGAGCAACTTTCATTTCATTATAATTGTAATTATATACAATATGTATAAAAATTATACATGTCATTTTTCTGTAAATCTAAAAGTATTGTAAAATAAAACCTTATTTTAAAATATCATTTAATAACAAAAATTTAACACAGTACAGTGAGTGCAGTGCAAGAATAAAAGCATATGAAGTGTAGGAGAAAAGTAGGGGGAAAGAGAAAAAGAAAGTCCTTTTTTTGTCATTCCTTTACTTTTGGTAGACTGTAGCTTATTTTTGTAAAACAAAATCGAAGGATTTGGTTTTGTCCTTAAAAATACTGAAGTTAACCTTTTTCAAGGTCACCTCAAATATTTCCTCCTCCATAAAGCTTCCCCTGGCTTCCCAAAGATAACAGCCACTCATTGCTCTGAGTGGCTGGCATTGCATGTCCCTCAGTGAACTTAATTTACAATCATTGTTATAGGTGTTTCTCCCATTTGGCTGTACACTTCTTTAGAGTAATGTCAACATCATGGGTTCTCTTGGTCTCTACACAATGTCTGACACCCGTTCATTATCCAACACCATTTATTGCATGCCCACCGTTCAATACCATGGATTGAACAGGAGGGAGAAAATTACAGAGAGAAATTAGCAACTGATTGTTAATGTTGAGAGAACTTTTTACTCCAGCAAAGCTCTGAAAAAAAAGAATTCCAAAATGATTCTTAAAATACTTTGACTCAAAAAGAAGAACAAATGCTCTTATATTTTAAATCATGTCTTTAAAGCTATCCATGTGTAATGTGTATATATTTGGGCTATTTCAGCTTACAACACATTATATTATACAATTATTGCTGTTCATGTTAACTTCAATATTTTTAAAGACCAAACCAAACCCTTTGATTTTTTTATAAAAATAAGCCACAGTATACCAAAAGTAAAGAAATAACAATCAGATCTGGTGTGTGTTTATCAAAGCATGACCTCCTCTCTCTTCAACATTTCTAGAAAAATAAATAACAGTTTGAGCATCAGTTGCTTAAGTAAAAAATACCATAATAACCCAGATACACTAACCTTACTAACTGGAATTACCTTGAACATTCATGCCTTATGTGATTTTTTTTCAGGGTGTTCACTACACTTAAAATGCTTATCTCTCATACTTTTTCTAAGTTCAAAATCTTGGTTAGCTTTCAAGGTCACCTCAAATATTTCCTCCTCCATGAAGCCTCCCCTGTCTCCCCAAGGATAGTAGCAGCTTCCTTTGAGTGGTCCACACTGCTTGTCCCTCCATGGACTTAATTTACAACCATCATTTATAGGTGTTTCTCCCATTTTACTGTAAACTTCTTAAGAGCAACATCAACATCATGGCTTCTCTCAGTCTCTGCACAGTCTGACATCCGTTCATTCATCCAACACCATTTATTGCATGTTCACCATTCAATACCATGGAATGAACAGAAGGGAGAAAATTACAGAGAAAAATTCGCAACTAAATGTTAGTGTTGAGAAAACTTTCTAATCCAGCAAAGCTCAGGAAAAAAAAAATGAGGAAAATATTGAAACAGATCCAGTTTACTAGAAGTATTAACAAACCCTTACATCACAGATGGAGAAGGAAATGACAACCCACTCCAGTGTTCTTGCCTGGAGAATCCCATGGACAGAGGAGCCTGGTGGGCTGCAGTCCATGGGGTTGCAAAGAGTCGGACACGACTGAGCAACTAATACTTACATCACAGAACTGATGTGTTTTTATAGTCGGTGTGTATACTTGTAGGTGACGGTCTCTCTCTTCTACCACTTTGTCCATTTTCTGTGACCTGGGACTCCTGTCATTTGTGTATAGCAAGCTGGTAGGTCAGGACAAGTAAAAGAAATTGAATCAATGTTCATTTTCAAAAGAAAACATGAATGAGGAGTAATTTAGGGGAAGGAAAAATGTAAAAACATTTTTTTCATGGCACAGGCCTGAAGTCCAGCTTACATCAAGCTACTCCACAGGTTCATACAAATGAACTTGCCCTTTTGAATCTTTCGATTAAAGCAGGTGTTTTTTTTTCCTCCCTTGAGACTTGCTTGGAGACTTCTCATGCATTGTTAATCAAAAGAGAAAGAGGGATTTAATACACTTGCTTAAAGCAACTTCATTTTATTTATTTCTTTTTTTTTTAGCAACTTCATTTTAATCTACATTCCATAAGATGGATCTGCTCCCAAATCGACAGTTGTTGAAGTTATTAACAGACAGAGTGCTGTCTCAATGTATCCATTATGGCTAGATTGATTTCTAGTAGAAACATTTGTGTGTGTGTGCTCTTATGGAATACTTGGTTTCTGCCTTCTCTAGGATTGATTAATTTAAATTCAATTTTTCAAAGCATCAGTGCCAAAAAAGTATTTTTTATTGCCATTGTCAAACAATTTCCAATAGGGCAAATGATAAGTGTATATTGTGCTCTATTCTATTCTATCAAGTCTTTTATTGTCAGTGATAGGACTCCTGGTCTTTTCTACTGAACTTGAAAGCCATTCACCCAGAGAATGCAGAAATGATTTCTGATTTCATACAAGGATTTTGAATGATCAAATTCCCCCAAACAACAAACTTCATGAAAGCTAGTCCTCTTTCATACCAGGGGTCAGAATCACACAGAAAGCTGTTATTTACCAAGATTTCTAAATATATTTCTAAATTGCCCTGTGGTTTTATTGTTTGGTTTTCATTGTCATCTTCTTTGATCTGTCACTGGCCACCCTCCCTTAAATCTTCCAAACTCTTTCCCAAAAGCCTGTTGTTATTCCTTCAGGCCTGAGCCCTGATTGTACGCAGTCAAGCTGCTCGCCTCCCCACAATTCTCTAGGGAACCCCATAGACTCTCATGGGTGGGACTGACTCTACCATCTAATTAGGGTTCCCATCAACTTTTAATAAACTCTAGTCTATTTCTGTTTTTGCTAGCAGGGCATATTGAATCTATTTTCAAAGTATCTCATTTAAAATGTCAGATTAATTCTGAAATAATAGTTACCCCATGAGCTATCTGTATTACTCTGCAGATTTAAAAATTCCTAGTATGGTAGGGCCTAAAGCATCTCAATGTGGCAAAAGTTTGGCTGAGTTCAAATCCTGGTTCTGCCACAGACTGGGCAGAATTGAGTGCTTTTTTCTGGATCCTTGAGCCTCATTCATCTCTGCAGATACTCTCTTTAGAGCATCTTAGCACATGCCAGGCCTAGAGGGGTGAACAAGGCAATCACAATGGTTCAATAAGCTGACTCTTTAATGAGCTAGGTTTCCTCACATTTACAATAGAAATAGTTAACACCTGGGGAGTTCTCTGGTGATCCAGTGGCTAAAACTCTGTGCTCCCAAATCCCTGGGTTTGATCCATGGCATCTAGATCCCATGTGTGGCAACTGGAAAAAAAAAAAAATAGTTAACACCCATCTTGTAGGGTTGTAAATATCAAATGACTCCTCAGCACAGTTCTTCACCACCTCTGCTCTATGCTACCACCACCATGTTCCCCCACTTTCTTGCCCCTAAAGGCTGATTGCTTTAAGTTTTCCTGCTGAACCTCTTCAAGATGAAATGATCTTGTCAAACCAGGCTCATTCACAGGAAGCCACACTCCTGGCCAGAGTTATTCTGGGGGTTGTCCCTGTGGCCTCCATGTAACCAAGAGAGCAGTGCCCTGGCCATGGCACACCATCTCTGCCTAGAAAAATGCCTGGATTTCCTTCATTCATTTGCTTATGCTTCCCAGGTTATCATTTCAAAGTGCCCACTCAGATGGAAATGACACCTGTCTCCCTTTTCATTGGTAAGAGTGTTTTTTTTCCCTCCCTTGTGACTTGCTTGGAGACTTCTCATGCACTCTTAATAAAAGAGAAAGAGGGATTGAATACACTTGCTTAAAGCAACTTCATATTAATCTACATTCCATAAGATGGATCTACCCCCAAATCGACAGTTGTTGAAGTTATTAGCTCACAGACTAAAAACTAAAGAATGTAGTTCTAAAGGTGTTTGTATGTTGAAGTGTAAGGTGTAACTCTGGGAAGAATCTAATGCTTAATGCTATGTGTATTTGTTTCCAGATTCTGTTAGAAGTTGTGTAGCAAAGCTGTTCTTCACTTGTTCCCTGAAGGGTCATTACTGCCTCTACAGTAAATCCAGTTTTATTCTCATCAGTCAAGAACCTCAGCCATGGATCCAAATCATGTTCCTATTTCAGCAGGTATGTATAAGTCAAGTTCAGCATGGCTCCTTAATGAGCCAGGTATGAGTTTATAATCATTTTTACTGAATTACACTTTGACCAGAGTAATATGCAAATAACAACAATGCATACACATTTCATTAGTAATTTTTAACATGGATTTTTTTTCTATATTTTAGGATAGTTTCTTTATAAAAGGCCCTAGATTAGTAATCAGGAAGACAATCCTATTATTATCTTGAATATCCTTTTGCTCTTAAAAAAAAGAATAAATGGGAAAATATTTTTTGTTCAATGATAACAAAAAAATCATTTACTGGGGGTGGACAGCTTTCCTTATGGAGAACTAGCCACTATTTCACAATCTCCAAATAACTTTGGAGTCAGCATATCTTTTTTGACATTGTTAAAACACTAGAATGCCACTTTTCTGTATAGAATTTATGTATAGAGGTAAAGTTACATAAAGAGGAGTTTAAACAAGAAAGAATTTGATGCAAAGATTTTTAGCATCAAAAAAAGATTCTTGTTTGGAAATGCTTATTTTGAATGCATTAAACTTTCGATAAAATTTGAATATAGATTACAAAATGTTAGTAACAGGAGGGATCTTAGACATCATTTTTCTAAATAAGCAAATTGAAGGACAGAACACAGACTGCCTGACCCCTGACCCAGTGGTCTTCACTTGTGTTTAAAACAAAATGGGTGTTGCAGGCAGGAACAGAGAGAGGGTAGAGACAGAAAAAGGAGAATGCAAATGTTACAGAATGGTTAAAAATTAGGCCAGGTATAAGCTGGAATCAAGATTGCCAGGAGAAATATCAATAACCTCAGATATGCAGATGACACCACCCTTATGGCAGAAAAGTGAAGAGGAACTAAAAAGCCTCTNGTTTATTTACTTCAATTAATAAAACATTTCTGTAATAATCCCACTGAAAGTTACTAATCAGATAGTTATGTTTCTTTATAAAATGGGGCAAGCGTATTAAGAAAAAAATGAATTTTAATGCTGAATGCATCATAGCTGGAAAGTGGAGCTATAATAATTAAGAAAGAAAAGAGACAATTTAGACATGCCTCAGGGATACCATCTTTTTCTATATGAAGTCTCAAGAACACTTAATCATATCTTGTAGAGAACAACTGATATTTTGATGTGAATCAAATTGTATATCAATATAGGGACCTCCCTGGTGGTACAGTGGATAAGAATCCACATGCCAATGCAAGGGACACAGGTTTGATCCCTGGTCTGGCAGGATTCCACATGCCTCAGAGCATCTAAGCCCATGGGCCACAACTACTGAGCCCGCCTGCCGCAACTACCAAAGCCCACACAGCCTAGAGCCTGTGCTCCCCAACAAGAGACAGGGGAAGAAAGAAAGGGAAAGAAACCACAGGGACAAGAAGCCCATGCACTGCAGCAAAGAGGAGCCCCAATTCCCCGCAACTAGAGAAAGCCTGCGTGCAGCAACCAAAACCCAGCACAAAACAAATTGTATGTGAATATAAAAAAACAGCATTGATTTTCTTCCTTTTCTTGAAATAAAGACCTTCTCCTACTTTAATAACGTTTTTCAAACAGGTTTCATCAGTGATTTTGTACTTGGTTTCATCTTTGGCTTTATTCTTCACAGTTGTCAGTTTTCTGAAAACAGACCAAGAAAGCTTGATTTTATTTTTGCCCCTTCTGTCTTATTTTATTGACTTAGTCTGATCCTTTGTTTTTCTCTTTGAGCAAAATCACCAATGAACATCTGTTTATGATGCTTTTTTTCTTTGTTCTTTTTCTGTAATGTTTCCTTTCTTTTTCTGCACCTTTGATACTGTGTGATCTGGATGAAACCTGACTTTGGGATAACTAAAAATCATATCTTTGACTTGATAGTTACAAACCCATACTAGCCTCGTATGCTGGGCTAGACTCTTTCCTTTCTCTGTCAGTTTACAGACTCATGACGGAGTTCTTAAATTAAGAGATTCAGTCCAAATGGACCTCTTTGGAATGATGATTAATTAAATCAGGTCCTGCTCTTTTTTAAGTGAATGGTCATATGCTGTCTATGTTTCCGATTATAATCAAGAAATTCCCAGATGTATCCATGTTTTGGGTTTCACATTAATCTGTTACTGGCCCTTAACCTTTTTAGATCTGTGGACAACTTACTCAGGGTATAAGATCCTCCACCTTTTCCCACTGAGTTCCAAAAACAGTTCATGTTGAGGAGGATAATAATGAGATTTTTCTGGAAAAGAAGAATCTTACTAAATAGAAATAGAAACCTACTAAATAGAAACTATATACACAGAGACCATCTAGAAAGTCTCGTAAGTCAATATTTGGACAGTCATTGACATTGAAAATGGGACTTTATAAGCCAATATCATTATTTTATTACACCTCACACATAAAGGATAATATATATTATATATATTATATTTTGTGTGTGTGCATGTGTACACATGTGTGTAATCATGTGCCTTTATGTTCTGTATGTTTTTATAAAATTATTTCCTTGAATTGAGACACTTCTCGCATTCTTAGGTATAACATCACGTGTAAATGACTGTTAAACACATAACTGATTAAACATACAATCTAAATTTTCCTTTGAAATTTTTATTTTCATTGACTTGAATGAAATTATTGAATGAAATATATGTAAATGTAATTTTTTCTTACATTAACAATTATTGTCCAAAACTTAAAATATCTTAAAGCTCTAAGAATATTCAGCCATTATACACTTTAGGACTGAAAACGTTTTTTATTTTCCCAACCCTCCCTTACTTTGTTCATATCTGAATAATTGAATAATGGACTGTTGGTTATTTAATGTCTATTATTCATGACTTACTCTGTATAAATAAACTTGATGTGTGCATGCTGCCTGCTAAGTCGCTTCAGTCGCGTCCAACTCCGCGATTCTGTGGACTATAGACCCACAGGCCCCTCTGTCCACGGGATTCTCCAGGCAAGAATACTGGAGTAGGCTGCCATGCCATCCTCCAGGGGATCTTCCTGACCCAAGGGTCAAACCCACGCCCCTTACATCTCCTGCATTGGCAAGCGAGTTCTTTACCACTAGTGCCACCTGGGAAGCCCTAAATAAACTTGATATTTGTACTCAAATTTTATACCTTAATTCTCAGATCTTTGAAAAATAAATATTTATATTAGCCATTTTCCAATTAAGTAACATCCTTGAGAAGTGATTGATATAAACACTACCTTACAAAAGTTAGGCATATTTATAGAAATCAATATCAACTGTCTTTAAAACGCTATTTAATAAGTTAAATTTTCTGTTAAAAATATAGAAAGCATGAAATGTACTGTACATTTGATCTTCAAAATAGATTTCTCTGTAGCTTTATTTAAACCAGTTTTAAGTTCAGACCAAAACTAATAGTGCTTTGCAGCCAATCAAACAATATTGCTGGGACAAGAGATAACATGTCATGTGTCTCTCATGAATGCCCTTTCAGAGCCTGTTTCCTGAGCCGCTGTCCGTTCAGAGTCGTCCTGTGCAATTCCTCAGCGCTCTGTGGGAGAAGACGCAGGCAGAGGGTGCTGACAGCTTTGAAACGGCCATGATGGAGTCCACATTCCCACAGCAGAAGGTAAATGCTTCTTTCCTTGCACATGTTATTTTTAGCCAAGATTCAAGATGAAAGAATTTGCTTTTTCTTAATACTTTAATTTTTCCTCTTCTTTCCTTTCCTTTCTTTTATTATTATCAGAAGACACTAAGTAATGATTTACATGTCATGCTATAGTGGATTCAGGACTTAGTGATATCAGTAGACAAAGTCACTGCATTTTGAGGCTCCCAGACTGACATAATACAGCCCACTCAGAGCCACACAGAAATGGGAAACATTTTATGGACAGATAGACAACTCTAGGACTGAAGAGGAAAGAGCAATTGGACTCTAGGTTCTTTGGGCTTTTCATTTCTTCCCTGCATACTTCCTCTCATCACCTTACCCTTTGCGGTCACCACAAAGTTAGAAAAGGAAGACAAGATGAACAGGAAGGGAGAGAGCATGGTCAGGGTGAGAAAGAGCTCTGCTGAGGCAGGCATGGATGGTGTGAGTTAGAGCATTTTAGGAGTGTGGAAGTAGGGGCATCACTCTCAGGACACAGTTGACCAAGACCTCCTGAGCAGGCCCTCAAACTGGGAAAGGACCAGAATGTGGAACCATGCCCACCCAGTCAATAGAGTGAAACTGGAAGTGGATTTTCACTGCTGTGATCAGAGTGAAAAGGGTCACAGGCCTGGGTATGGAGAATAATTGGAGGAAGCCTGACTGGAGACAGGAAGACTATGAAGGAAGTGATCACTGCAGTCAGGTAGGAAATGAAAGCCTGAACCGAAGTTGGAAGTTATAGGAAGAGGATGGATTCAAGAGGCAGTAACAAAGCAGAGTCAACAGGACTTGGTCCCTGATAAGGAAGATGGAAGAACCAAAAATGACTCCAGGTGTATCTACGGCCAGTGGATAATGGCACCATCTTGAAAAAGTTGACCACAAAGGAAGCTGATATGGAGGAAGAAGATAAATCATTCTGGTTTACATATTTTTAGTATGAGTTGTTTATGTAGATAACCAGGTGGTGATGGTCTTTGAATTACCAGTGTGGAACTTAGGAAGAAAGCCAGAACTGGAGATATTGGACTTGGGTGTCAAAGATAGCACTTGATGTCATGACAGTAAGTTGGATCACTCAGGGAGAACATGGCTAATGAGAATACAGAATGGTTATTGATCTTCCCTTCTCATATTCAGAGAACCTAATTATCCTTACTTCGCTTTCAAGAAAGCCCAGTAATAAGCATTGGATGCTTACTGATGAAACCAGAGATTCTAGGAGTGTATGATCATGGTCTTTGTCCTTGTTAAATAAATTCAAAGTATAAACAACTAGCAAATTAATAAAAAACTGTTATATTTGAAACAAACTCAATACCTCAAGTGCTAAAGGGTTGTGAAAAGATGAGAAATGGTTGTAATTAATCAAAAGTTTAGTTAGTATGGTATGTAAGACACTGAAACTAAATTCTATTATTGCGTCACTATTTTTGACTTTGGTTTAAGAATTAGGTATGTAGTATTAAGAATAAAGGAAATGCCATAATTGCATCAATGCAAAGTAGAATGGAATTCTTCCCTTATTTCATGCAAATTTTAAACTGTTGCATCATGTTTAAAGACAATGCCTCAAATTCTTAGAAATGTTTCTCTGTGAGCTGTATTTTAAGTAGAGGGAACTAGTAAATTAAAACTTGGCAAGCAGCATCAAGTCCTAAGAGATTGGGGAAAAAAAAAAACTTGGCAAACCAGTTTTGTACATGCTCACAAGTATGCTTATTCATATGTCTTCTATTTCATACCGATAAATATTCCTCTAGGGAAAAATTAATTGTAGAACAAAATGTTTTAGAAATTTCAGAAGTTTTATAATTTGGTTTACTCATAAGTATTAGAAAAAGCTTTGCTATCTGGAATGTACATTATGTGGCAAGGTTATCAGCCCAGGTATTTCCCAATCAAATTGATTTTCAACTATCTTTATTTTATGAAGTATTCTTCTCATTAAATTCAAAGCAGCTATGAGAATGGTCCAGTGTCTGCTTTCTTGTCACCACCTGTGCCTCTCTGTACTCATACTAGTGATTTGAAAATGATGGGCAGGTGTGTATCTGTTGCTGTGATAGAATTACATTGCAGCCAACTAAATTCACATATACAAAGAAGGAAGAAACTTCTGAGAAAACATCTAAGTCTCTGAAATATAACTCTCTGGAGAGTTTCTTACTGAGAATTTTTTAAATGAAATCTTGGGATTTTATTTAAAGAACTGAAAGTCAACAGTAAGATATCTATTAAATTGCAAACTGCTTGAAGGCAAGGGTTGCACTGTGTTTACCATTATATTACCAGAGTCACACCTTGCCCAACACATGGTTGGCTCCCGATGAATAATAAGGACCAATTGAATAGGGCTTCCCGGGTGGTGCTAGTGGTAAAGAATCCACGTGCCAAGGCAGGAGATGCAGGAGACTGGCGGGCTACAGTCAACAGGGTCACAAAGAGTCGGACATGACTGAAGCGACTTAGTACACATGCACGCACCAACTGAATAAAGAAATAAATCCTACCACTTTCCAGATGTTGCAATTGGAAGCATAGGGACTTGTCAAAGATCACATCCCTCGTCAGTGGCAGAGCAGGAGCACAAGCGTACACCATGGTGACAGGAGGGCCATCAGCAATACATCTGGGTTTTCTCTACTGTATGCTTGTAAGATTATAATTCCCTGCCTCTTGAAGTAAGCCGTGGACATGTGACTTGCTTCAGCAAATGATATATAAAAAGGGGTATGTATTACTCCAGACAGAAGCTTTTAAGAACCACTTGTAAGAACCACTGCTTCTTTCTTCATCCTGCCTCCCTTCCCCTACCACGGAGACTGCAGAAGCAAATGTTGACATAGAGTGGCCAGAAGGATGGCCACAGCCTGCAACTCTAAACTCCCACACAGAAGACTGCTTCTCTGGAGAGTTACCCAGACCCCCTCTACACACGCACACACACACACACTTTGCATGAGGAAGGAACAACCTTCTGTTCTGTTAAAAACTACAGTTTTTGTGTTTGTTATGGGTGTATAATCTACCTATCTTGACTAGTTATCTTGATTTTAAATAGTAATAAAAACATTTTTTTTAAACCTGGATTAATGGAAAGATATGCTCTTCCCCTGGCTAGGAACACTGATTATGCAAATGGAAATTACTCTCAGATTATAAATATAATTTATTTCCAACCATAATAGCAACAGAATTTCTTCATGGAGTTAGACAAACTGATCCTAAGTTTGAGAAAAAACAGTTCTGAAAAAGAACAAAGAGGAGAAAATTTTTTCTACTAGGAAATGAAAACTTATTGTAAAAGCACAATAAGATGAGGGGATGATTATTGCTACAGGGATAAATTAATAGTAAGGAATATAGAGTCGAGAGCTAGTTCCAAGAATATGTGCACACTTGATAGATGATAGAAGGGAGATTTCCAATCAGTGAGGAGAAAATTAAGTGTTTAAAAAGCAGTATAGGGACATGTGATTTTTCCAGATTGAAAAGATAAAATTCAATGGAGCCTTGACACTATCATTAATAAATTAACTCCAGATAAAAGTCTAAATGGAAACAGTGAAACTTTACAATAACTAGATTAAATAACAATGGTTATCCACAAGCTGGAATCAAGATTGCCAGGAGAAATATCAATAACCTCAGATATGCAGATGACACCACCCTCATGGCAGAAAGTGAAGAGGAACTAAAGAGCCTCTTGATGAAAGTGAAAGAAGAGAGTGAAAAAGTTGGCTTAAAGCTCAACATTAAGAAAACTAAGATCATGGCATCCAGTTCCAACACTTCATTGTCAAATAGATGGGGAAACAGTGGCCGACTTTATTTTTGGGGGCCCCAAAATCACTGCAGATGGTGGCTGCAGCCATGAAATTAAAAGATGTTTACNCAAAGAGTCAGACATGACTGAGCGACTGAATTGAACTGAACTGAAACAGAAATCATAAAGGAAATATGAATAAATTTGACTACATAAAAAGTTTAAATTTCTGTGTGACAAATTACACCATGACAAAGCTAAAAGGCAAGCATAACAGCATAACCTGGGAGGAGTTATTTAAAATATGTTTAACTGACACAAGCTCTCCTACACATCAACAAGGAAGAGACAACCAACCCAAGAGAAAACTGGGCAAGAATCATGAACAGAAAATTCACTGAACAAAAACTCAAGTGGCCAAAACACCTAAGAAAAGATGTTTAGACTCACTAAAAGTCATTGAAATAATTGATTTAAAATGTTAAAAATGAAGTACCATTTTACAGTGATCAGACTATCAAGAATAAAAAATTGTGGCAAATAAGGTTTTGACAAAGATGTAAAAAGATAAGAATATTCATACATGACATATGAGACTATCTACTTAAGTAAATATCAGGTATATCTACTTAAAAAGAAAAAAGTAATTAAAAATACATAGCAATAATTAGATTCATAAATGACAGCTAGCTAACAAGGGGGGGTGAGTAACAAGGGGCAGTATACTTTCCAGAAGTGTTAATTGCATTTATAACTTATCAGAAAAAACGCCATAGGCATTTCCCCCCACAAAGGATTCCCCCTATCTAGTTAATTAACAAATCCATCGCCTCACATAGTTTTATTTCTTCTTTCTTCTTCCTCCCCTCCCACCTGCTCTCCCTCCCTCCCTCCTTCTCTCTTTCTCCCTCTCCTTCCTTCCTTTCTCTCTCTTTCTTTCTTTCAATGAGAGCATTTAAGTAAGAAATGCTCATATCTTTCAACCAGAAAGTTTTATATTATAGCATGTAAAAATGTTATGTCCTAAAGAGGGTTTAAGACAAATTTACCTTTACGGTGTTTTTTTAAAGGACAGTCTGGCAGTAGCTGGTTATATTTTAAATTCATGTACCCTATTATCTTGAAATTCCATTTCTAGGTGCCACTCTCACATACTTGCACCAAGATAACATGTCAATTAACAGAAGTAAACTGAAAATTG